TTTAATAAAACTGGACACGCGGCTACTGTTGCTTTGAAGAATCGATGTACCGTGAATAGTGATTGGTACACGACCATTTGTTTGCCGGAAGTTATGGACGAACTTAAAAATAACCATAAACGCCGTATCATCTTGCACCACGATAACGCCAGTTCTCACACGATCAGACAGACAAATGAATTTTTTAAGGTGAACAATGTTGACCTTATGAGCCATCCCGCGTACTGTCCCGACCTGGCACCTTGTGACTTTTGACGCGGTCAACGATTTTCATCACCGGAAGAGGCTGTCGAAGAGTATGAAAAATATGTTTCAGAGATTGTCATGGAAGAGTGGCATAAATGTTTCAAAATTGATTCATTCGTATGAAAAAGTACATTAACGATAACGAAGAACATTTTGAGAAACAATAAATTCATTTCTGACCATTTATAGCATTTTTTTTCCACTTAGAACCGACTAAGTTGGGACATTTTTCGAACTCAAACTTACTTATAAGTGCTCTTACATAAGATTCTTCTTATCTTATTCTTCGATCTTGGCGTGGACAACAAAACACTCTTATAAATTTAAAGTATCAGACCGACTCAAACTCCTTTGTTTGCGACTAAAACAATTTTTATCTGACAAATCGAATTTAAAAAATTCATTATTAGTAACTGTAATGAAGCACGCCGGGATACAATTGTTTTGTTATTGTCAACTACTAGAACAAAGAACTTTGTGCAAACGTAATACGCGTCGTAGTACCTCTCCTGCGCATGTTTCTGCGTTGCTGTGTTACAAGAAAATAAGAGCCGAGAATTCTGCAACTATCCAGTGATACCTGCATAATAATTTGCTAAAATATTCCAATTGCAGGAAATGCTTGTTGTAACAAATTCCCTTCGGTACAATCGGTCAACTTTCCCGATCGGTCCTCTTTCACTATTCGTCTACTTTACCGATCGGTCCACTGTCCAAATGGACATTTTGTTAAGCATGTAAACTAACTGTAAGCATTCGTATGGCTATGACTAGACGTGATCGATTGTTTCGGGTTTACAAGCGCGATAGGTCGGATTGTAATTGGACTCTGTACAAGACTGCTCGTAATAGGTGTAATGGGATGGTGAGGGCAGCTAAGCGTCAATATTTTTATGATAATGTAAGTAATTGTTCTCCTGCTAATGTCTGGAAGTTTCTCAGAACTCTTGGCTTAGGCAAATGTTCTGCTCAACCTGACTCCTACCCTTTTGCTCCTAACGACTTCAACTGCCATTTCTCGTCTGCTCCTTCTTTGGATCCCTTCATTAAGGCGAACACTATTCGACTTATTGCTTCCAGGCCCATTTCTTCTTCAGTTTCTTTCTCTTTTTCACCAGTTACAGCTGACGATTTGCGTAAAATAATTTTTTCTATTAAGTCTAAAGCCGTAGGATGTGACGAGGTGAGCAGAGTGATGATTGTCAGCATTGTTGATCAAATTCTCCCTGCTATTGTCCATATCATCAACTTCTCCTTGCAGTATGGTGATTTCCCTCGTGCCTGGCGTAAGGCATTTATTATACCTTTGCCAAAAATATCTTCTCCTATACAACTTAATAACTTTAGGCCTATCTCTATTCTTCCTTTCCTGTCTAAAGTTCTAGAATCTGTTGTTCATAAGCAAGTGTCTTCCTACACATTTTCTAACAACCTTCTAACCCCTTTCCAATCTAGGTTTCGCCCGGGACACGGCACAACAACTGCCCTACTCAAAGTTGTGGAAGACATTAGGCTGGGCATGGAGAAGCAGTTGGTCACTGCTATAGTTCTCGTCGACTTTTCCAACGCTTTTAACATGGTAGACCACGACATTCTGCTTGCCATCCTGAAGTCGCTTAACTTCTCCCCATTATCACTAGACTGGTTCTCGTCCTACCTTCGTGATCGTCAACAAGCTGTTCGCGTGGGTCCTAAAGTCTCCGATTGGCGTGATTTGGCAGCTGGTGTTCCGCAGGGTGGAATCTTGTCACCGCTTTTATTTTCACTTTTTATTAATTTTCTTTCTTTCTCACTTAGCTGCTCTTACCACTTTTATGCTGATGACTTGCAGATTTACGCGCAGGCATCTGCCGAGGACATTAATTCAGCGATTTCTGACATTAACAGCGATTTACAATGTGTTAGTGCGTGGTCAACTAATTTTGGGATATCTGTTAATCCTTTCAAGTGTCAAGCAATTATTTTAGGTGGATCTAAACAGATATCCAAGATTGACCATACTTCGCTCATTCAAGTAGTTTATGAGAACTCGTCTGTTCCATTCAGTTGTAGTGTAAAAAACCTTGGTCTTTACATTGACTCCTCACTAAGCTGGACCTTACAGGTGTCCGAGGTTAGTCGTAGGGTTACTTCTTCTTTACGTTTTCTAAACCGCTTTCGACATTTTCTTCCCATTAGTACTAAGACCCTGCTCGTCACCTCCCTTATATTCCCACTCATTGATTATGCTGATGTCTGTTATCCTGATCTCAATGAAAATCTATTAGACAAGTTGGACCGCCTGCTCAATAATGCTATTCGTTTCATTTTCTGCCTTCGGAAATTTGATCATGTTTCTTCTTTTAGGTCTCAACTTAAATGGCTCCCTATTCGTCAACGCAGACATAAAAGAATTCTCTGTACGTTGTACTCCGTTCTTTTCAATCCCCACTATCCAGAATACTTGAAATGTAAATTTCAGTATCTCTGTGACTCTCATGACCTCCCACTTCGTTCCATGAATTCACTATCACTCACTGTACCTCTCTTTCATTCTGGCTTCATGTCAGATTCTTTTACTCTCCACTCGATACGGCTCTGGAACGCTCTACCGGACGCCATCAGACGGTCTCCTAATATATTTTCTTTTAAAAATAATGTTCATGAGCATCTTCTAAATTGTTTGTCACAGCAATAATCATCATCATATTCTGTTATTGTAAGTATTTTGTATATGTATAGTATATTTGTATGTATGTAAGTGTATGTATTATATTATTAAGTAAGGTATTAGGTTAGTTTGTTTGTATATAATTATGAATTTGTTTCATTTATTTTAATATAACCGTAATATTCTGTTTATTTACCGCGTTCGTGAATTTCGTTTTTCTCAGAGGTTGACTGGTAGAGAATGCTTTTAGCATTAAGTCCGCCTTTTGTACCCTTTGTATTGTGGTCAATAAAGTTTAATAAATAAATAAATAAATAAACTAATAAAATTTTACAAAAAAATTGTTTTACAAATTTTCAAAGGGAGCTTGAAATTGCATAATTGCTAAACGTTAACCATCATTTGAAGAAACAAAATCAAGTAGTCGTTTTTAACCGACTTCCAAAAAAGGAGGAAGTTCTCAATTCGACTGTATGTATGTTACGCGATAACTCGTTTGTGACGATTATTTCATTTATGATAACACGTTTGTGAACCGATTTTGATGATTCTTTTTTGTTTGAAATACCTCAGTATTGGTCCCATTTAAATTTTAAGAAAATATTCCACTGGCAAACTACAGTCATCACCAAATAAGAGGCCAAATTTGACAGCTAAAGAAGGCGATAGTATGTAACTTTGAATGCGATCAACGAAACAATAAACAAACAATAATTAGCATAATTGAGTTTAAAAAAATACATAAATTTTATTGAAACATTATATAATATGACAAAACATATTTGAAGTTACTGTTTTCGCACGAATTCCAATATAAAATGCAATTTTGAGTTACTCCGAAACGCCCTGAAAACAGTCACGTCCTCAAGCTGTTTTTTCTTAAATAATAATTTAAAATAAGTGTGTTGTGTTGTAAGCAATTAATCACTGAATTTCACCGAGTCACTTCGATTTCTCGGTAAAAATATTGACATTATGTGTTTGTTTTATTGAAGAGCATACTTACACTAAATTCTCGTGATAAACCATTTATGATTATTATAAAATTAAAATTAAAAGAACTGGATACAATTCATCGGAATGTGGGACAATTTTACTAAAATCAGAGGAGTTGTAAGGAATTCTGTAAATGAATTGCTTTTAACTGAATTGCACAATTTGGCCTTTTAGGTCCCCAGTACAACAATGAACCGAAAGATAATCTAGACAATCAGAATTTCTTAAAATTTCTTATATCTCTATCTTAAAAAAAAATCAGGGGAGCATGTTTTAGATTTAACGACTTTTTAAATATTTGCGTCCTGTTTTAAAATTCAATGTTGGTTTTAATTAAGTTTAAGTTTTAAAATTGGATTTAAAACACGACATAAATATTTTAAAATAGTCGTGAAAAACATGCTCCCCTAATAAATGTTTTCGAAATAGTTTTTACGCCCTTTTACAAAATACCGACGACGCGACGTAGTGATCTCGTCATCATAGTGAACTATACCAAATACATATATTTCGAACAAAGCCAACGGAAAACTGTAGAATACTATTCTTATAATTGGAATAATGCAACAGATGCGTTGCAGTCGTTTTGCTGTTAAGTGCAGATATCAGTTTGGTAACTTTGAAACAAAAATAATTTGGTTAAGTGCGTTTTGAAATACGTTGCCGACCTTTATAAAGAGGTAACCACGGAATGTTCTCCAGTGGACTTAACAGGTAAACAAAAAAGTGCACGAGATACTTAATCATAACAATGTTGAAAAAAATCATTCTACAAACCACTTTTGTAATTAAGAAAACAGCGGCAGATTTGAATACAGCGAGCAAGAACTCGGTAACTGTGAAAACTGTATTTATTGACTAGTTTTGACGGGGGCATAAAACTCCTTGTGTAATTTCCACCACGGAGATGACTCGTACAGGTGACTGCTACTTCAATGATTAGCTAAGTTATTCCATTGAAACATTCCTGTTTTATAAAACAGTATCTCGCGAAGTTGATGTAAAGATGCATAAAAAGGATGCTGTAACCAGCGGATCGCATGCGCGGGGTACGGTACGGCACGACAGCGGCGGCGGGTGGGGCGCATCGGCGACGGCTGTGGCGGCAGTCGGCCGCTCGCCCTCGCCTCACACGACCACACGAGCTTCGCTTGCCATTGTTTCATAACAACCGCATCACACAGTGAGTAACTTACATTTTTGTTTTATTTTTCAATTGTCTTTAAACTTTTTATTATTTTGCAAAACATTACAAAAAGAATATATCATTTTTAAAGTTTATTAATACTTTCCGTGTTTTGATAAAAAAAAAAACAAATTATAGGCGACGAAAACTTTTTAAAACTATCCCTTAATGATTTAATTTTTTTAAATTATGAGTGTAGTGCTTCCTAGTGTTGTAATTTATATTGTGTGATGACAGGGTAGAGTAGATCCTGTGACAAGGTGGCTTCTTAGCAGTACCAACCTGTCTGATTGAATTTAGTTTTGTTGGCCGCGATAAATTTGAAATTGAAATTATTTTAAATTCAAAGGAACTGCTTTCATTGATACATCTTTGTAATACATTTCTCGCTTCATCCAAGTCTACATCGTTCTTGATTTTGTACAAAAAATATTTACGTATCTACTCGCATTCCCGTTCGGAGCGTTTTGAAAGAAGAACAATCTTGAGTAATTTAATAAAGGGCATGGCAAATTTTATTTTATACTCTTTTTTTGGGGAATGCCATCTAAAGCACAAAAAGATTATTGCCGGGAGGCGAAATGTTGCTGCCGACGGCGGTGGGTTTTTGCCACAGGACTGGTTTGATGAAATTGGAATCTGTTTGATCTTCACTCTCGCTGCGAAATTCGGTTAATCTCGAGAGTTTCGTTCTTACACGCCTTTTGTTCAGCCAACACAATTGAAGAGCGAAACGGCAATGAAATACCTATATTGAAAAAGTCCGCTAACAAAAGCCGCTTGCCGCACGTGGACGGTCGGCGGCATATCAAGGTGCCTACACAATGACGGATCTTGTTCCGTTGCTTTGGATGCGATATATGAACAAAAGTGTGTAGCTTGATGGACTGTCGACTGTACAAGCGCGCGGACGGAAGAAACGTTTGTTTATGTGACGGTATAGTCGATTGCTCTATGAAATAGTGTCGTCAGCCATTGTTAGAATTTATCAATTTACAACAATATGGCGACAATATTTAGTTTTTAAATTTTTATTCAATTGATATTCAATATTTAGTTTACTTTTGTATTCTGCAAAATTTGCAGCTCCGCAAGATGAGCCCTTATCGCAAGTAAGCACATTGGTAACGTTAAACAGTCCGAACTTGAAGCTTAATTGCCTCGAATTATAGTTACTGCGTTCCGGTTTTGAAGGGTACGGGTGCTGGTGAAATTACAGGCACATGAGACTTGTCAACTAATGGACTTTTGGATATCAGGGTGTTGGACGCAGTGGCAGTGTCCCTGAGTGTCTGATCTTTGTGATTTAAAGCTCTGGTACTGCGACTGTTATGGACGTGACGCTTACCATCAAGCGCAGGACTTGTTAGTCCCGTAACTTAATTAAGCAACAACTAGCCCTATACCTAACCCTATTCGCACCACCCGGCACCCGCACTCGCAGGCAGAGCTAGCCAAATCCTAAACAAACAAGCTCACTGTCCTACCCACTTGTTGTCTCATCACCGTTAATTACCTGCGGCTATTTATTTCGTGTCGCACCGTTTCTGCACCCAATTGTAGACTAAATACGCCTTTCTAACAGACGCGACGTATGATTTGCGATCGCCGAATTGACCCACATACGTCTTTTATCCAAAGGATCGAGTAGCGATAAATAACGCGCCGACAACCCACGAGGGTCGTAACTTAAACCGCTTCACCTGGTACGATGTCACAGTTCGCCGCCGCCCCGGTGGACAGAGGCCGAGACGACAATAATTCACATTACCTCGCTATACTACATTCCCGTCTTGCGGCCTATCCGGAGCTAACTCTACAACAAAGGGAGGACAGCGATATGGTGACAAAAGATTATTTGTTAGTGTAATAAATAATTTCTATTATACATCAAATTGTCGTAATTTCATTCAATTCCAAGTAGGTACTGCGTTGGTTATTAGCAACGATTTCCCCGTTGAAGCCGCTCTCTCGAACTCGAGCCATCTTGTTCCAGAGCCACTCCAATTAGAAGAAATATTTTCCTCGAACCTTTTGATTTTTTAGATATTTATTTTAACTTAATAATGCAAACTGTCGGGTCCATTTTTGCTTAAAATTTAAACGTCGTTTTTCTTTAGCGCTTTTCTAGTAATATTTAATAAAAAAAAAGGAAAGTATAGTCAAATATAAGAAAGTGTAGTCAAAGTAGGTACAATGTTGTATGAAACAATGAACATATCCCATATGTATCGTGTGAAGCTTAATTTTACATTTTTATCGTGGGTCACGCTATCGGCGGACACCGCGATAGCTGCTTCCGTCGTCGTCGGCGCCCGGCCAGTGACGGGCGCGAATCTATAAAGTGTTCCAGTATCTCTGCGCAACGGCCAATTTTCAAGTGACCCACATTTTTGCACACACAGGAAGTGCGCTGGAATCTGGATAAATTAAAAGTTCGCTCACTCTCCACGGTGAAATTAAAACTTCTCTGCTACATCAGATTTCATTTTAGCTACAATAATTATACTTTGTATACCTATATAGGTGTGGTTTGCGACGCCTGCCTGTATTTAATTTTATTCAGATTTTAATTATCATACGAATATAATTCTTAATACAAACATACGAATCACATAACAACCGCAACAACGCCGCGACCGACGTTGATAACACAGCTCAAACAAAGAGAGCCTTCTCTCTGCACTGATCATGCAATATAATGCAGCTCTGACTGCACATCGAACAGGTGATGGGTCCAGAAATGCGCCCACACCCGACCGGATTTAACATAGGTACACAATCGTCATTTTTCGGCGTAGTCGTAAAACGCGAGCCGCGACATACTTGTCGGTTACGGAGTTCATTTAACGAGGCCGGTCGGGGGTTATCGCTGTAAATTATTACGAAGTTTAAAAATATTGCTGATCAATGTTCTACTCGCTTGCTTTTATCTTCGTCGATCCATATTCAAATATGATACGTGTAGGTATCAATGGTTTATTTTATTCAACGACATATCACAAACCTTGAACACCGGACGTCAAAGATAAGTCTGTTGCTTCCTTGTACCCGCGCAATGCTAAGCGCTCGAACAGATGCGCGGGCGCGGGCTGTAGATTCCATCAAATCACACGGCCGAACAGAAAACATCATTCAAAGCTTGTTACATACGTGTCGCCCCTAAACACCCTCACACTCGCGAACTGTAACAAAGGACAATGATCCAACTATTGCTCAAGAATTTCAAGGTAAGAATAGGTTCAGAAACGTATTGTTAAGAATATTTTCAATAAAAATTCAAGCACTTAATAATCATTGCAATGTGTTGGCGATGTCGGGAATCCACTTTGCGAGTACTCTAATGATATCGCATTACAATTATTCACCACGACATCGCGATCGCTGCCAGATATTGCACAATCATGAACAACTGTTAATTGCCACCTCCAAGTCGACAGTCTGCCGCTGCAACTGCCTCGCTGCCTCACTGGCTCGCTGCACTCTCGGTGCTAAAAGTAAATGTACAATTGGGCTGTCCAATTGGTAACAGAACCAGAAGATTGATGAATGGGGTATTTAGGTCTGTGTCCGCATATTTAGGTCAATAGAAACAAATGGCAGCGTGTGAGGTTCAGAGCTCGTTGTCGGCAATTTCGAGATTCGCCGCACACCTAATTACGTTCTTTGTAGCGGCCGCAGCGCTGCGGCAAATGGGTCGCAGCTGCCGCAGGGTCGGTTCACTCTCAGCGAATTGATGGGAATTGACTTCATAACTTTTCTTCAAGCTTCGTTAATTGATAGCCTACAGATTGATCCGGTACCTCTTTTCTACTTGAACGTTGTGAGTAAACATTATTCAGTAATGCGGTCTGCATTCACATGTTTTGTACATACAACGGATGTTCAACTGGTAGTTAAGTCGCATTAACATACGATTAGACAGTTCACAGTTCTTAGTGCAAAACGCAGCGTGCTGTTGACCGTACATATGTATCGAAATATAAATATACTTACCCGCGACCGCAAACATTACAAGTAATTGTCCGAGGAGATATTATACAATGCAGGGTTCGCAACGAAAGGAATTGAACGGAGTGTCGCGGGCCACGCGGCGGACTTGTATGCAAAGATGCTCCACGCCGCGAAACGAAGTAGTTAATTACTTTATTATACATAGGATACTTGTATGCTCCGGCGCCCGTAGTCTTTCCTGACCGGCAGAGCGTTTGTAAACCAAGTTTTATGTGGTATATTAGCGCAGTATGTCAATTTACAGATTATTGAAAACTGTGCACTAATTAGATATTGTTCCATATAACATAATATATTTTTGTGTGTTGTATAATATCCGTGTTGCAGTGTGAAATGATTTTAGCGGGTGCACATGACATCATCAGCGTAGACGTAGAACCACCACACTGCCGTCATCGTCGATTTATTGCAACGGCTAATTCGCACAAGAAATGTAAATAATCATAATTATGATGTGCCTATACTTTCTAGATGCATCAGCGTCGCGGTTTCGATATCCACTTAAATTCTATTCAATAGGCAACGGTGACTTGTACCACAGGTTTTATTGAAAAAGGGGACTTAATGTGCCTGTTTGCACAAAATGCAGCGACGCGCTGACGATCTCAAGGTATCGCATTTCCCCTGATTAATTGAGAAATGTGATCGTTTCCTTTCGCGGAAAGTGCTGACGCTGTGTTTGTTCGGAGCGCTGCCTCAGGCCGAATTCGGAGTGGGTGCGATGGCGTCGCGTCACTTAGGTCCGAACGCCACGGCCATATTCACTCGTACCCATTTCAAGCCACCACGCGTTTAAGACGGCCGCCAATCTAACTTACACGGTTAGACCTGTCCATTATCTGACCCTTTATTATAGCTCGAGTAAGGTCTCTGTTCATTAAAATTGTAGCTGGTTTACCAACGTACGTTAACCACATATCGATTCACGTTTAACGTGGTTCAATTTTAGCCTCGGCGCGCGCTCGGGAACGAGTTGCGAATGCCTCGTTGTGCAGGATTAACGAGGAACGATGCTAGCAAAGGCATTGCACCCGGCCGCAAGGCTTGAAATAGAGACGCGGCTGCGTCTTACAAAATAGTTTACGCTGTCCGAGCATCGACCGCAGCCGCCGCTGCCTAACCGTTTTAACATGTTTATGCTCAAAGAACTCGTAAACCAACCTATAAGTACATTAGCATTCAGGCAAGAACTGTACGACAAATAAATTCGGAATAAATTTTTGTAGATTGATTCGTCCGTAATCACCATGTGCGTTATGTAATCGTACCGGAGTACGGTCGAAATCACAGTGGCTCTAATAAATCGTCGTATGACAAAAGCTTCCGCGCAGCGGCGGGTGCTATAAAATGTTTTCTGTAGCCTTGCGCTCGTTTCGACGGCACGCGTCTCGACCAAGCGACGTCAATATGACCGTTAATAAGTAATTATGCGTCACGATGCTGGAACATAGTTATTGCTTTTCGATGAATAAATGCGAGCAAAGTAGAGCTCGTCGCTAGGCTAAACAATTTTACAAACGCACAAGTCTCTACGACATCGTACTAACATTCGTGTACACGTTGTAGCAGAAATCGGTGCTAGTTATAATGTAAATTTTTTAATATGAGATTATTGTGTTTAAAATTTTTCTTTTAAATTTTGGCGTCGGTTTACATGTGTTACCTATGTATGCGATCATTTATATATGTGATTTACATTTTATACATTATTATGTGATCACTCAGCCGTTGCTACGTACTGGAACGAAGATGAACAGCCGCCTGCTGCTGCTGCTGTTCTTGGTAGCCGCCATCTGCAGTGTCGATGCTGAGGTATGATATCTCGCCACATTTCTTTCCTATACACATCGTCAAAACTAATTACTACAAGATGACGTAACAATATGTTGACAAATGATTTTTTATCAATAAGTTTATTTTAAATAATGTATTAGGAAAGTATATTATCGTGACTAGACACCCCTTTTCGTTTTTAAATTTCGCTTTCTTAGCTAGTTTTCAAAATATTCAGTGAACTTGTTCTTAAATGTAATTAGTGTTTGCCGTGTGCACTCAGTGTCGGCGCCTTGGCTCTCGCAGACCAGCATTCGGATTGGGTCAGGCGAGTGCGGAGGATTTCGTTTGGAGCGTGTGAACCGCGGATAGTTTTTTTATCATGAACACTGACGAAAAGTCACTTTTTCTTTGGACCTTTTCTATCTCGGCCGTTCAAATCCGTTTTCTATAAGAAGCAAATAAATACCGCCCTAACGAAGGATTCAAATTTGCTATTATAACAAAATCATCTGTCAACGTGTGACGGGCCACCATGGCACGCATTGTGTCGAGCAGAAGCATCGGCGCCGGCACCGGCGGCTGCGCAAGACCACGGCGCGGCCCGACGCGGCGGCGGAGGGCGCCGCGGCCGAGCGCGAGGAACTGCCCGAGCTGCCCGTCTACATGAGCCGCGAGGACACCGAGGCGGAGAACCTCGAGCTCGGCATGGCCGAGCGCCTCGACGAGAAGCGGTTCCAGGTAGGCCACGGACCCGCGACTCGCATTCACAAACCAACTTTGCATGCCCACCACGCCCGTCTCCCGCCTGCTGCGCTCCCGACAGACCGCCTCTTCACCTCCTCTTCACCTCCTCCACTCCCACCGATCTCTTCGTACGTGCCCATGCGTACTAGGCATCCCCAGTCGGAAAATAAATTTAACAAATTAGTAATTATATTTAGTAACACTTTACGTTGCATCCGCTAATCGCTCATTAGCGGGTGTTTTCTCAGCTTACTGCTCTACCACCTGGATTTCGTTAAAGGAGTGTCTATAGCGAGTACCCGTTGCAGGAGGCGGAAAAGGCGCGGATCAACGATCTGTATGTGGGCCGCCCCGAACACAACGGCGAAGAGAACGAAGTCTACGTCGACGGCAAGTACCACTCGTCGCAGTCGTAACCACCGCTTCTTTACTTATAAGCGTGTGCCACAAGTTTTGCGTCGCAACAAGCAGGGGAAACTGTGTGACTCATCTTTATGTAGAGTACCAAAGCGGGAACAACAAAAAGGAGCAAGTTGCTATTGAGTAAGGGAGTAGGTGCCCAAGTTAATACCCGAGTTCTCACTTGTCTTCTGTTTCTCGTCAAAACTTTGTTACAACCATCTTTAAAGGTAAACCTTTATATACGAAACATCAAACAAGCCCGACTATTTTTTGCTGTATCCTAGGAGTAGTAGTGTCCCGTGGCCGTAACCGGTACATCAGTTTTGGATGAAGTCGTAATAGTCAAGGTAAATTAGTTTTAACCCCGTGTTGAATTATTGCACAAAGGTCAAATATATTTACAATCTTTTAATAGATTTTTGTTTCTATAAATAGCGTCGAATCAAATACCCTACAAAATATTTTTTTTTCTGAAGCACAACTTTAACTACAATTGCTTTTTTTAAATATTCCCTTAAATGTGTTTTCGGAGTCCAACTACTTTATAGGAATATCTGTGAATTGTTCTACACGACGAACACACTTGCACCTTAAATGTTAATAATAAAGTTCGATAGTGGAACATTCTCTTAATAAAATACATAGAATAAAATCATTGATTTTGTATTATCAATGTCATATTACAATTTAAAATATAATGTCAAGACATAATGTGACGTCAGCTGGTAATTATAAACAATAGTAATAAATAATATGATACTTATTCAATAAGTTATGGAGACAGCTATGTTGTTTGAGCTTTGAGCTGTCACAAAAGTGCATGTATACTTTATATTTTGCCATTGAGTAATAAGTTTAAACATTTGTAATTCACTTTTACAGTATCTTGACCATTGACTTACAAATAAATGGACGACGGGTCTAATACAAAAACCACGAAAAAAAATGTCCCAAGTCAACCTATTCGAAATTTAAATTGTAATGTCATCGCAGTATCGCGCTGTCAGTAGAACAAATGAAGAGTAAAGCGGAGTGTCGCGCTCTGTATACGATTTTAGCGCCTTACAAGTGCGGACACTTTTTAGCGCGGACCCGACGTCCATATAATTGTAAGTCAATGATCTTGACTGTTATAATTCCGGACAGTTTTCAAAAAAATTGGTGTTCTAGTCTCAAATACACAAACATTTATTTTAGATCAATTTATTTTAAAACTCTGATAGCACACTGCAAATTAATAACTTAAAAATATAAGCCTCCTACATTTGCTCTGTAAAAGTGTAACCGTTTCTGCTTAACCGCGTGTAGATACCGTACGCGTAAACCTAACTGAGATATCTGGGAGGACGCGCTGCCACTGTCACCGCGCTTTGTAAAATGTTTTTATTGTAAAACGTTTAATTTAATTCGATACGCGTGTCCGTACGCAGACCCGTGCCTGAAAGTGCACTGCAGCGCGGGACGCGTGTGTGAAATCGACGAGCACGGCGACGCCGTCTGCAACTGCATCAAGGAGTGCCCGTACGAAACCGACGCGCGCCGCAAAGTAAGCGCCTCCCTCCTCTAGCCTCGACACGGTACCGAACTGTCGATTGTCTTTTCACTTTGACAGTGTCAATGATGGCGCATTTACACCGGGCGGTCTGCCGCCTGCGACTGAATACTTCACCTTGACGAGTTGACACGTTGACACCTGTTGGGTCCACAGTCGCTTGCTGAAGGCGTCCGTGTCGCCCGTAGGGTTTACACCTAGTCGCTTCGTTCGACGTCGCCAGGCGACCCAGTATTTCCACCGGGCAGCTCGCTAAGATCGCCTGTCGACCTGGTGTAAATGCACCATCAATGACGAGACCACAACTTTATTGCTGATGCCGTTTACGACCCGTTCTCCTCGTTCAAGAGAATTATCCACAAGTCAATACCATTCGGACGTGCGCAGTCGTAACGTGCGAACGACCGTCCCGCAGGTGTGCACGAACCACAACGAGACGTGGTCGTCGGACTGCGAGGTGTACCGGCAGCGCTGCCTGTGCATGGACGGCAGCGACGCCTGCTCCGGGCCGCAGTACCACCACGTGCAGATCGAGTACTACGGCGAGTGCCGCGAAATGCCCGACTGCACCGAGAGCGAGATGTCGGACTTCCCGCGGCGCATGCGCGATTGGCTGTTCAACATCATGCGCGACATGGCCGAGCGCCGCGAGCTGTCCCACCACTACCTCAAGATGGAGCGCGAGGCCGAGGCCAACCTCACGCAAGCTGCGAAGCGAGGCGGGCTCGGCCGCCGCGGCCTCCGCCGCTCGAATGTTTCTCCGCAAACCGTTTCTGTCCAATTCCTCGAGCGTACGTTTTCGAATCGAGCGAGGCCGAGAATGTTATAATTATTAATCGATATATATAAAGTAACATGTGTGTAAATAGAAACGTCATCGCCACCGTGGCGCAGCGCCGTCTCGCCACTCTATACGACTAACTCTAGGTTTAGTTCCGAAATATTTCCGCGCTACAAACGACGTGTTTCGTATTGAAACGTACGTCCGCGCGCCGGCCCGCAGCGGCGCGACCGGCGGACGCTCGCGCTCGACCGGCGGCCACTAGGCGCTGCCGCGGTTCCGTCGCCTGCTCGTGTTTAAGGCGCCCGACTTTTTGCTACTCCCGAGCACAGGTCGACTCTCACAGTACGCGCCTTTCGTACGAAGCACTGAACGATATCGGCACGGCCGCCCCGGCGAGCGCTCCGCGTATTTCCCAAATTCTTTGTACTTATTTATTGTAAATATCGTATCGGAGTCTCATCGACTGGGACGGACATCGTACTTGCCCCGCTCGGCCGCGGCCCGCCCAACGAACGCGACCCAACTCGACGACACTGACCCGCGAGTGAGCGAATTCGATAGGCGACTGTAGCGCCTCCAAAGCAGTTTTCGGACGAACCACTAATTGTGTTGCTTCCGTAAAACTGTCCGAGAACTGCCTGCGCACTTTTGTGATAGTCGCTTGGCTAGTCGCGCCGCGGAAGGGCCGCGGCCGGGGCTAGCCCGCGCAGGCGAGGCGGCGGCCCCGGGCGTCGCCTTGAACCCCGCGGCGGCGTAAAGCCGATGTCAGTCCGCGAGCGGGCAGGCCCACTCTAAAGTATGACTAATTAATAAATCTCTGTAAACAAAATTCAGACCCCACAGACAGCTCTTGAAAGCAATAAATAAACAACGTGAGAGTCACGTTGAAGCGACTGGCGCTGCAGTCGGAAACGACGTTACGATGGGGTCTAAATTTTGTGCTAAAGTGTATTTTTTTTTTTCAATAAAAATTGTGAAGTGCAGTCTGTGTAGTGAGCGGAGCCGCCGCGTCCGCTCTGCGCGGGCGCGGCGGCGGATGTACTGCCCTCTTAATAGAGATGTACTTTTTGTAACAAGCCGTGCCTTTTATTTACCCGTCCCTTACTCCTAACGCAACCCCCTGAGCTTAGTTCTCGCTCGTGAAACGTGTTCATTTGGAATGTTAACTAATCTAAAGTTATGAAATGAGATCGTAATTGCCAGAGTATATTTACCTAAACTTCAAAGAAATAACATACATAGAGTGCACTTATAAGGCAAAGAATCAACACTGAATAGTATTTGTAACATTGATTTACAAGAAAAGTTTTGTGGTTGTAATTTTAAACTTTCAATTACAAACTGTTCTTGTCACAATTAATTGCTACCTACTTGTTGTATTAAAAAAAATGTGTATGTAGAACAAAATTGGAGATATTACCCACTGTACAAGTGTTCTTGAAGTTTAGATAAAATATACTGTGCTTAAAAGTAAAATAATAATAAAATATTAATAGTGAGTGGTAAGTATTATTTTTTTTTAGTACTGATCGACTCCGTTTCATGCAGGGATCATTTTCATTGTATGGGACGAAAAAATCGGAATAACAGAAGTTGATCAAGTTTCGTATAATGTTAATCATACGAAATGAATAAAATTTACTTAATTTTTTTTAATGCTAATTGTCTCGGCTCTTATGAGGATGATTTCATTGTATGGGACGAAAAAATTGGGACAGCAGTAGTTTGTTAAATTTTATAAAATGGTTTTTCAAACAAAATTAATAAAACTGACAATTTTTTTTAATGCTGATGGACTCAGTTTCTTTAAAAATGATTTTACTGTATTAGAATAAGAGAATCGCGACAGCACAAATTGGTCATTTAAAAAGTTCATTTTGTATGATTTTTTTTATATCGACTGACTTTTACTGTCTCATTTGTTTTCTTTCGATACAATGAAGTCCCTCTTATAAGAAAAAAATATTAGTTTTACCCAACTAGTAATATTTTTACTTAATATGCTCTAAGTATTTTTGTAACGTGATTATTGTAATACTGCCTGGATTAAGTCCTATTCGAGTGTGGTACAATATTTGCGACAGCTTCAAAACTACTTTTTTTGCTACTACAGGCGCACTATAAGTTTCCGGAACTGGCCACTTACATAAACAATATTTAAAAAGTAATTACAACATTTGAAAATTGATCTCTTTGGCTGTAGAATACAGTTTGTTTCATCTAAGTGTCACTTGTTTTTATTTTGTGGCGTCATTTTAGAAATTGGTTGTCTACATCACCATGGATTTAACTCGTGAAAACTTTCGTAGTATGATTTTCTCCGACTTTAAGGGTCGTATTCTAGAACTCTACTCAATGCTCAAGTCAGGATTGCACTGGAAATACGACTCTAATGGCAGGGACTTGAGTATGATTTCGAGTGCTTTAAACCATACTCAAATCCTGACTTGAGCATTGAATAGAGTTCTAGAATACGACCCTAAGTGCAATTTAATAGCTCAGCGGAGCTTAGCTCGGCTTCAAACTGCT